TCCTTCATGGCATTAAAATATATTTTATAGCCATAAAGTACACACAAACAGAATAGAAACAAAACAGGGGAGGAGAGAAGAGGACGTAAAAAGGACTAAGAGTCTCAGTGTACCAACTCCCCACAGTGAGGGTCATCACTACATACCACAAACACTAATAAAGATGTTTAAATGTACAAACAGGAAGAAAAGTTTTTAAAAACCTACTTGTTGAGATGTTTCAATTGTGAAATATACAGATTACTTTTTTACTGATACCAGCAATCAAACTGAAGGCCCTGCACTAGCCAGGTAGGCACTGTGCTGCTGAGCTATATCCCCAGCCCAAGGTCACTTTTTTACTCCTATTCCAGTTCTACAGGATAAATCAATGACATTAAATAACACAACCAGACTTCTATTTGTTTTATTCCTCATAATTTTCACTAAGACCTCTAAAATATTCTATTTAACAGAGAAGTTTTTGGGCTTTTGCTGTATTATTGTTGTTGTTTGAGACAGGGTCTTGCTTTGTAGTTCAGGTTGGCCCTGAATTTACTTTGAAACGCAGGGTGAACTCGTAACAATCCTCCTGCCTCAGCCTCCCCAGAAATGGAATTACAGGTATGCACCGGCTCCTTGGCCTAGGCCCGTATTTTAACTTTTTTTTTTTTTCTTTTTTATCAGTACCAGGGATCGAACTCACGACTGTCTGCTTTCAAGGCAGGCGCCTATGCCACTGAGCTAAATCCCCAGCCCCATAGGCCCGTATTTTAAATAAAGCAAATGATCTTGTTTTGTGCTAAACATCATTTTCTTCTAAGAAACAAGAGTTTCTAGACTTAGTCTGTGAGTACTGTCATAAATTCCTGTGGTATTATTTTTAAAAATTACAGTAGAACTTTACAAAGTAAATAATTTCTAATAGGCACTTTTTGACCTAACAAGAAATCATCTTATCCCCCTAGTACCCAGTCTTTACTAAAAACCAAAGCTCCCAAGAGAAATGGCCAATTCCAAAGCTTTCAGAAGAAATGTACATAATGTGTACACTTTGATGAGCCAACAAAGAACACTTTAAAAGACTGATGAAGCTCCCTCAAGAGAAAGCACAAGACAGCCTGCCAAAACTCTGTAATCACTGATACATTGTGTCAACCTGAAAAGTTTTAAAAGTTTAACCAAGTGACTCAGCAGGATGCCCAGGTCCTCACTTTGTTAATATCCTCATCCTCTGCAAGAGAAGGGAAGGGAGATAGCCTGAGTGCTGTACCTACCCTGGGAGTGGGGCTAGCCTGCTTACAGTACAAGGGAGGAAAAGCGGCTTGTTCTTCCTCACTTTCTGCTCTTGCTACTTTTGTTGTCTTCTGCCACCCTGAAGTGCTGCCCCTGTGCCACACCTCTATTACAGGACTGAAACCTTCACAAACCATGAGCTAAATAAACCTTTCCTTCCTTAATTTTGGGTGTCAGGTTTTTTGTCCCAGCCATGAGAGAAAAGTAACCAAAGACAGACTCTTACTAACCAAACTTGTGACAAACCTGAGCAGCAAAAAGAACTTTGATGGTAATGAATGGAGCCCCACTAAATCAATGAAAATTCATAAGTACAGAAAGATGCTTAGAAAAATAAAAGAGAGGGGCTGGGGAGTTAGCTCAGCGGCATAAGCACCTGCCTTGCAAGCAGGCGGTCGTGAGTTCAATCTCCTGTACCAATAAAAAAAAAAAAAGAAAAAGAAATGAAGAAGCAAGAAACAAAGGTTTTTGTAATTAACTCAAACAACTATTACAATAATATCAGGTATGGGGATATAGTTCAGTGGCATAAGCGCCTGCCTGGCAAGTGCAAGGTTCTGAATTCAATTTCCAGTACAAAAAAAAAATCTCTTATTTAAAATTGATAAAGTGAAGTTAAGCATTCGTCCTGACATCATGACAGTTAACTAAAATGTTAACAAAGATGCTACACATGGTGGCACATGTTGTAATACCAGCACTTGAGAGGCTGGTGCAGGAGTTTGAGGCCAGCCCAGGCTACGTACTGAATTCAAGGCCAGCCTGAACTACATAGTGAGGCACTATCTCAAAAAAACCAACAACAAACAAGAAGAATCTACTTTAGAAGAATAAAGAATACAGCTTAATAAGAACAGAAAAAATTATAAACCCTAATGAAATTACTACTATGCAAAGATTATCAACTGGTGTTACAATCTTTAGGTAGGTATTCATGATAAAATCGACATTCACTTGGTGCCAAAAAACACCACATGGATTATTTTCTAGTCATAGAAAGAAAGAAACTTAACTATTCAATGGAGAGATCAGATAGTCCTCTTTACTTTTAACATCGTGGAACATGGAAAACACAATCACCCATAATATACATACATACATACATACATATATATATATATATTTTTTTTTTTTTTAAATTGGTACTGGGGATCGAACTCACGACCACACGCTTGCAAGGCAGGTGCTTATGCCACTGAGCTAAATCTCCAGCCCCTGCCCCACAATATATTCTAACCTGAATTATTTATCTTAAAATTTCCAGATTGCAGAAACATGGAATATAATTGTAAAGGCTAAATGACACAAAAAAGATACAAGAAAAGAAATCCAAAAGGTAAGACTTTCCATAGAACAGCTAACTTAAAAATAGGGACTACAGAACATTTAACAGGAATTAAAGAACATATCAACCAGATGCAGTATGCAGTCCTGGATTCATTCCTAGTTTTGATAAACCAAGTATCTAGAGTACTTCAGGTTCATCAGGAAAAATGTAATAATAACATATGTAAGCATATGTAAGACAAAAAAGTGGACTGAGGTGTACCTCAGTGGAAGAGTACACAACTACTATATTGAAGTTCTGGGATCAATCTGGGTTCTAGCACTAAAAAAAAAAAAATTAGAAAGACAAAAATTTATTGAAATGAAAAAGTAGAAACTCTTGTATAAGGAATCAGCACATGTGGGGCAAGCTGGTGCATTCTTACAATCTCAGCTACTCAGGAAGCTGAGGTGGTACTCTCCAGAGTTTGAGGTTAGCTTGAGGAACTTAGCTTGAGATACTGCTTCAAAATAAAAATTAGGGTTAGGAATGTAGCTCAGTAATAGAGTGCTTGCCTACTAAGAGTTCAATCCCCAACACTATTTAAAAAAAAAAGAAAAAGAAACCAATACTGCCACCACTACCCCCTCCAAATCTAAACTACAGCTCCTAATGCTCTAACTAAGTACCTTGAAAGCAAAACTTTTCATCTGGAAACTGCCTAAAGAAAATATGCAATCGAAGAAATGTTGCATTTCTAAAAAGGTAATCATGTTAAGTGCTATAGGGGAGGAGTGCTGTACAGGAGTAGCATGTCTATCATAGAAAAAAAAAAAATACATAGCCAGATATAGTGGCAGACACTTAGAATCATGCACTTGAAACACTGAGGCAGGAGGATCACAAGTGTAGGCCATGCCTGGGTAATTATAGTGACTTACCAAGACCCTGTCTCAAATAAAAAAAGGGGGGGATTGGGAACTTTGCTTAGTAGTAGAGCACTTGCCCTAGCAAGTGTGAGGCCCTGAATTCAGTCTTCAGCACCAAAAGATTAAAAAAATAAAGAATTTTTAAAAGGAGCTGTGCATGTAGCTCAGTGGAAAGGCCCTCGGTTTAATTCCTTGTACTGCAAAATAAGTTTATGACACTGATCAAACCCAGGAAAATTTTATGGCATGTCTCTCACCAACCTTTCATTTCAGAGAAGTCCTATTCTCTTTTAACTTCCTACTAAAGAACTGAGGTGCCTTTGATTATCAAAGCAGATAAGTTTATTAATTCAAAGTATGATTTATAAATTAATGTGGAGTCCTTATCCATGGTGGATAGTTTTTTCGTTGTTGTTATTTGGTTGGTTAGGTTCTTTTTAGTACTGGGATCAGACTCACAACATCATGCTTACCAGGCAGGCACTTGAGCTGCTGAGCTAAACCCTGGCCTGGTGGTTAATTTAATACTGATATGTCTGATGCTTTCTGCTTTTCAAGAAGCTGTATCATCCATCTTAAATAAAAGGGAAAAAGGTATATTCAAGTGTTCCATTAAACTATATTTGTAAAAGAAATACAAAACTGGTATATTACCTTACAACTGTTGCATGACAAAAGGTCAAAACTATAGTGGCATAAAGGAATACAAACCTATTATCTCATAAAGGCCAGTGGAGGTGCACTAAGCTAAAACTGAGGCTCTGGCCAGGGCTGCAGTTCTTATTCACATCTCGTACGTGCTAGGCCAGGGCTGGGGTACTCTTGTAAATTCACTAGTTATTGGCAGTATTCATTTCTTCCTCACTTCAAGCCAGCAGTGGGACGTGAATTTTTCTCATGCTTTGATCTCTCTGATCTCTTTGTGTTATGGTTAGTATCTGGATGTCCCCCCAAAGCTTCATGTGATCACAGAAGTGAGCTTCTACAGTTTGTGACTGATTCATGATCCAACGCTAGGATTATGGAAAGAACTACCACACTCACCTTAGGGTAGGTAGCCTACACAAATGTAAGGGACAGAAAGAGTCTTCCGTCATTCCTCCCTTTTAGCTCTGGTTGCTTTTGCTGTCTTCTGCCTCCATGAACTGATGCCCCCTATATGTGCCACTCTGCCTTGCGGCCAACAGATTATGGACTGAAACCTCCATGAACTATGAGCTAAGTAAAACTTTCCCTCTTTAATTTTGGGTATTTTGTTTCAGCAACAAGAAAAGAGTAACCAAGACATCCTGTACACCGTCTAAAAAAAGCACTCTACTTTTAAGGCCTCATGTAATTAGATTAGACCCCCAGGATATCTTTCTGTCTTAAACTGTGTCACACTCTATAATACAACAGAATCACAAGTATGGTATCTCAGCACAGTCACAGGCTTGGAGATTAAGTTAGGAGAATTTTGGGGATGAGAGGATTTTCAGAATTGACTACTGCAGGCAAAAAAATTATAACTATCAATTAAGATACTTTACCTGTTAATAATGAACCATGCAACAGTAAGCATTCCTGCTAGCCATGTTCCACTCATAAGCCAACTTGTAACAAATAAAGCAGTAACATATATTCCTTGCAATCCAAAAACAATGCCAATATAGAAATACATAGGCTCAATAATCTCCTAAATGGAAAAAAGAAAGGGGGTGATAATAGGATGACATTAAACAATTTGAGAATTTGTAAGTCTGTGAAAAAATAGATATTAAAGTACAAAGAAAAAAACATACATACATTGCTACCAGTTGCTTGATATAACACGCTGGCAATAAGTTCTGGATAAAGTGACATTTGCTGCACTGCATTTATAGTCTTCAGAGATACAGTTTTGTTATTGTGGGTGAGCTCATAGACACCTAAAGACAGATTTTTCTTCAGATTATTTATTCTGTTTTTACAATAATTAAATAAGCATGCTATTCATTAGTCATCCAATGTACCATCAAGGAAGATCTCAAAAGACAATACTTCATGCCTCATTTTTCCAATTTTTTCTCAAGCATGACACAGAGAAGCACCTATTCTCTGAGAAAAATAACTGCATTCTAAGGCTCCAAAACTGAAGAATAATATTTTAGTCTGGAAAAATAGTTATGACAAATACAACTATGATTATCATACCTCGCTCAAATGAAGGTGCCTTTAACATATCCTTATAATAGGAGTAATAAACAGCACTGTCACCCTGAAATGTGATTTCTCGTTCAAGTTCCTAAAATAAAATGAAGTAAGTGTTTAAATACCAACATTTTAATTTCAGCTGTATCTTCATTTTTCCTCCTCACCTTCCAAATTAACATATTTACCCTCTTAAAAACATGTTTGAATTTTCATTAATCTGTAGTAGCCATATTAATGAGAAAGTTAAACTTTTAAACAAGCTTTTTAGCAAGTAATCATTTTGACTGTAAATAAATTGTAATTCATAAATAATCTGTTTTCTACATAAGGAAAATTTAAAAGGAAAAGCAAAAGAATGTCCTAAAAAATAGCAAAAATAGTAAGGCAAGTAATAACAAATGACAGTTGAAGTGTCATAAGTCCATAATAAAAAAGATAAATTTAAGAAGAAAGTATTTTCTATTACTAGTCTATGTTCCTATGTGTCCTAAACACCAAGTCCTCAATTCATAATTTAAGAGCAGCAAATACTGTACTTGATTAGTATTTTTCAAATCAACTTCCAGAAATATAACCAAAACTTCCTAAAATTAAGACTATTGGGAACCAAGAATGTAATGTAGTCGTTAAAAACATTAAGGCTGGGTGTGGTGGCACACACCTGTAATCTCAGCACTTGGGAAGGTGAGACAGGAGGATCCTGTGAGTTCAAGAGCCCACAGCCTGGGCTAAGTGAAACCCCATCTCAAAAAGACAAAAAAAAAGGATGCCTTATACTTTTGATGCTGAATCAAACTTTCATGAATCTATAATATTTTAAAAACTTGAACAATTTTTTATGCATAATACAGATTGAACATCCTTAATCCAAAAATCTGAAATCCTACATGTTCCAAAATCCAAAACTTCTTATGAGTCAACATGATGCCACAAGCGGACAATTCCACACCTGACCTCATGTGTCAGACTGTAGTCAAAATGCAGGCACAAGAAAAACACTGTATAAAATTATCTACAGGCTATGTGAATAAAGTCTATATGAAGTTTAAACAAATTTCACATTTAGATTTGTGTCCTACCTCCAAAATATCAAGAAGTATATGTAAATATCTAAAAACACAAAAAGATCTTTAAAATATAAAATACTTCTAGGTCACACATTTCAAAGAAGGGATACTCAATCTGTATTGACCACTTAATAAAAACACAAAAGCTATTAAGGCCAAAGTCGGGACTTCCTAAGATGTTACTGGGCTCTACTGAGAGTTCTATAGTTAAGTTTTGAGAAAGGCTGAATTAAACAAAATTAAATGAGTTCTTTTATTGCAGAGCTATTCAAGAGTTTAGTCCATATTATATATGGACTAAATATATACTATATATGGACTATATATTTTTTTTTTTTTTGGTCTTTTTCCTTTTTATCGGTACCAGGGATCGAACTCACGACTGCCTGCTTGCAAGGCAGGCGCTTATGCCACTGAGCTAAATCCCCAGCCCCAGTCCATATTATATTAATGCACTGCAAATCTCTAAGAGGAAATCTTTCCCCAAGTCTACTGAGCTGATAACTCCTTTTTTCTCACTATGATCTAGATGTTTGTGTCCCTCAAAATTCATATGCTGAAATCTAATCCCTAATGGAATGATATTTGGAAGTGGGGAATTTGGGAGTTAATAAGTCATAAAGGAAAAGCCCTCACTATCAGGATTAGTGCCCTAAAAGAGAGGCCCTAGAAAGATCAAATGTCCCCAAAAGATCCCTTGCTCCTTCTGCAGGGAAGACATAGCAAGATGACTCATTATGAACCAACAAGTGGGTCTTCACCAGAACTCAATATGGACTAAGAGGTTATTAGCTACATAAATTACTTTAAAATGACTTTTAAATGGAAACAGAATTGTTTCTTTCCAGGATTTTAAAAATTAAACTCTCAATCAATGCTTCTTAAATTTGCTGTGCATATGATATACCCTAGATATAGCTAGGTATACCTAGATATACCCTAGACTATAAAAATATGCATTCTGGCTGCGTATGATGATGTACACCTGTAATCCCAGTACAAAGGCTGAGGCAGAAGGATCATGAGTTCAAAATCAGTCTGGGCTACATAGTGAGTTCAAGGACAGCCTGCATTACATAGCAAGACCCTGACTCAAAAAAAAAAAAAAAAGTGGATTCCAATCCTAAGTGAGATAAAGCCGTATCTGAGAATCTGTAATTGTGAACATACTCCCAGACAGTACGCTCTTAGCCCATGCATGACACAAGGTGCTTAATGAATGCCATTCTTTCAGTTTTTCTCAGTTCACTCACTTGCCCCCAACCTAAAAATCTGAAAGGGAAAGATATATTTTGAAATATATACAACTTCCATTCTCACAAGTTGAGGTTAAAAAAAGAAAAAGAAAAGAAATACATACAACTGGTATTGAGACCATCCATCCCTTTACCTATCTAACATCTTATCTGTCTGTCTGTCTGTCTTTGTTTTTAGTACTGGGGACCAAACCCAGAATTTCACTTATGTTGGGCAAGCACCATCACTGAGACATAGCCCACCCTCTCCGTGACACACTTAAGGAAAAGCCTATGCTACGATAATATTTAAACTAACATATGTATACCAGTAGTTATTCAATTAAGTCTTTGGGTGGTGGTAGATAAATCAACAGCTAAAAGCATTTAGTCACCTTCACTATTTGCTCAGTATTAGAAACAATGACAACCCCATCTGAGCTCAATACTTTAAACAAATCTGTAAGTGACCTTTGAAAACAAAGTGACTAAAGAGTCCATGGAATACACATAATTTAAAACCAAACATTAAACAATAATATAAGACCTGGGTGAGGTGGGGCATGCCTGTAATCCCAGCACTTGGGAGGCTGAGGCAGGACTGCTTTGAGTTTGAGGCCAGCCTGAACAATACAATGAGTTCAAAACTAGTCTGAACCACATAGCAGACTTTGTCTCCAAACAAAAAACAAACCACCCACAGGTGTGGTGGTGCATGCCTGTAATCCCAGCACTTGGGAGGCTGAGGCAGAAGGATCATTGTGAGTTTGAGATCAGCTTGGGCTACAAATTGAGTTCAAGACCAGCCCAAACTGCATAGTGAGATCCAATCTCAAAAAGACATAAAAAAAATCAGTAATATGAAGCAACATCTTAATGAATACTATGTTTTGCCTTATCAATCTTTTTCAACTCCCCAGATTCCAGCCATGCAATGTTAACACTAAAATATTTTAATGCCTAAATGTTCACAGACTGTTTCTGAAGAATGAGTTACAAGTACTATAAGGCTGACTAAACTCTAACATTTCATTGTTACCAAAAGTCTCTGTAATATTCAGCTTGACCTGATTGCAGTGATCCTGAGACAACCACCATAATTGCTCCCTAAAGTTTCCCACCACACATTTAATATGCGTAGTTTCCCAGATAAAATCAGATGATACAATTAGAATGGTACATGAAGCTTTACAACCTGGGCCTAGTACCAGGAATGTGCCTAACGCCCTTGAAACTAGTTTGAGATAAACCAGGTACACTCTGGCTTGGATAAAGTCACATGTATCTTAATCACTATACAAGCCCTTTCTTGCCCTTCTGATCCAAATTACAAAAATCCACCTATCTTGCAGCCACCCAAGACATGTCTGTCCGCCTCTTTCTTCAGTCTTACATCACCTACAGCCAGTTCTTAACTACTAGGGCCAGGGTTTTCCAGAATAGCCTCTGAAATATTAATCGTATAGGGAGCATGCTCCTAATATTCTGTGAAGCATCATGTTGCATATCTCAGCTTTTTTTTTTGTCTTTTTCCTTTTTATCAGTACCGGGGATCGAACTCACGACTGCCTGCTTGCAAGGCAGGCGCTTATGCCACTGAGCTAAATCCTCAGCCCCCAAGTTGCATATCTCAATGTCGACACTGTGACTGTCTTCTCAAAAGAGCTTCCATAGCATTTTGTTTCTAATAGCCATAAATAAGAAAGTACTTGTCATATGTATATTTTTCTCTAGAAAACACACTGCTCAAATTAATATTAAGTACTAAATCACCTTTCATATGCTCAAAATTCTTTGTGCTTACCTGCCTGTTGGAAAACCAGAACTTCCGTTCATGGTATGCAGATAGGTAGAGCGCATACATCATACCACTAGTAACCGCAGCAAGACAGCCAATGAAAATCTTTGCAAACCGCTGAAATAATACATCTGAAAAGTATATTAAAAGTAATCAAAAAAAGTAATCAAAAGATAGTATATACCCTAGATATGATGTGATGAAAGTGGCATTCTAGCTCAATAGTTTCATCCCTAAAACTTTAAATCTAATCATGAAAAAAAATCAGATAAATCCCAACAGAGAGATGGCCAGCAACCTACCTGACCAATACTCCTCATAACTGTCAAAGTCATCAAAATAAGTCTGAGAAACTGTCATAGCTAAAGGAGTCTAAGAAAACATGACAACTAGCCGAGCTTGGTGACACATGCCTGTAATCCTAACACTCGGGAGGCTGAGGCGGGAGGATCATTGCAAGTTTGAGGCCAACTTGGGCTACACAGTGAAAGGCCAGCCTGAACTGCATAGAGACCCTGTCTTAAAAAGACAAACAAACAAACAAATGCAATGTTTCTTCTATGTGATGCACAAAAAGGACATTAGATGAAAACTAAGGAATTCTGAATAAAGTATGGATCTTTGTTTTTATCTTTTTATTTTTGCTTGTTTTTTGTTTTAAAAAATAAAAACAAAAACAAAATTAGTTCATTAATTGTAACCAGTTCATTAACTGTAACCAATGTACATACCAGTGCAAAATGTCAATAAAGGGCACTCTATGAAGGGGAATGTGTAATATGGGAAGTCTATACTGTCTGTTCAATTCTATATAATTCAAAATGATTCTAAAAGTCTATCAGGGGCTGGGGATTTAGCTCAGCGGCATAAGTGCCTGCGTTGCAAGCAGGCAGTCATGAGTTCGATCCCTGGTACCGATAAAAATGAAAAAGACAAATAAATAAATAAATAAAAGTCTATCATCTGCAAGAGAAAAAAGCTGTAGACATCTGTTTCACAGCAAGGTAAATATTCTGAACACTACAGAATTGTACTTAAAAATGGTTAAGATGGAAAAAAAATTAGTATCTATTAATTTTAGAAACTAGTCAAATATAACATCCAATAGCTAAAGTATGCTGGTCATAGTAGCACACACCTGTAATCCTAGCATTCTGGGAGGCAGAGGCAGGAATGCTACAAATTCAAGTCCAGCCTGAACAACTTAGCCTATTTAGTGAAACCCTGTCTGAAATTTTTTGTTTTGTTTTTTAAGACAGGGTCTAACTGTGTAGTTCAAGATGAACTCACTATGTAGCCCCACTACTGCCTTAAATCTGTGGTGATCTTCCGGTCTCAGCCTCTCGAGTACTAGGATTACAGGCATATTCTACAATAGCCAGCCTGTTTTAAATTTTTAAAAAGGGCTGAGGATGTAGCCCTGGGTTAAACTGAAAAAAACAGACAGGAAGGAAGGAAGGAAGGAAGGAAGGAAGGAAGGAAGACAAGGGAAGGAGAGAGGGAGAGAGAGGAAAGGCAAAGAAAGGAAAAGAAAGGGGTAAATAAATAAATAAATGTGGTAAATATCAGAACAGTGATGGTCTTTGAGTGTAGGGAAAATCTCCCAGGAAATAATATAATAAAATTGTCTTGGATAATGAAAATATTCCATAGATTGTTTTGGCTATACATATACATATACGTGTGTGTGTGTGTGTGTGTGTGTGTGTATATATATATATTATTATTTTTTTTTTTTTTTTTGGTACCAGGGATTGAACTCACAACCTTGCACTTGCCAGGCAGGTGCTTATGCCACGGAGTTAAATCCCCAGCCCTGTTGTGGCTATATTTAATGTCAAAATTCATTTATTCAAATACCTAAGATTCTGTATGTTTAATTATATGTTACTTTTACCCAATTTTAAAAATTAGGAACTGTTTCTATAATGAATGTTATCATTATATATTTATACAATATACCAATAAAATAAAAATTAAATAATTAGGGACTTCAGGTATAATGGTATAGCTCAGTGGTAAAGAACTGTACTTTGAATGCATAAGGCAACAGGTTCCATTCTTAACATGAAAAACCATTAACTTTAGCATAAAAATTTTTTGTTAGCTTTTTACCTTAATCCTACTCAGCTCTAGTCCAACAATTATATCTACAAGTTTTTTCTAGATGTCTCTTAAGAGCTTAATTACATATAGTATGAGCTTATCAAAGTTTTGTAAGCCAGTAGTCTTATTTTTTTTACCTAAATTCTATGTCCATTTAAAAGGATTTTGGGGGTGGGGGGGCCTGGGGATTTAGCTCAGCAGCATAAGCACCTGCCTTGCAAGCAGGCAGTCATGAGTTTGATCCCTGGTACCGATAAAAAGGAAAAAGACAAAAAAAAAAAAAAATTAAAAGGATTTCGACAGGGCATGGTGGCACATGCCTGTAGTGTTAGCACTTTAGAGGCTGTGAGTTTGAGGCCAGTCTGCCTTCGTATAATCAGAGAACACTTCCGCATCCCACCATCTGGACTGACTTCGACTTGCTTGGGCTGATAGGATGGGGAGGACAAGCACAGTGAGCCAGTTCTGCAGAAATCTGAAGGGCACTGCAGGGGTCTACCTACACCCTGCTCCTTTCCTCTGCTCCAAACAAAGGCTCTTCACTCATAACACATGAAGCTGCATCAGCTACCTGTGGCCACAACATGTGTTATACATCAGAAATGTCTGCTATGAGGCAATGAGATTTAGTGATTGCTCTCATGGATGCAAAACTGAATAAAACTGAAAATATGTTCATATATTTTAAAGTATTTAAAAACTTTGTTTCTTTTTGGAGACAATGACGTATTCTGTAGTTCAAACTGGCCTTGAACTCCCAGAGTTGCTCAGGCTGGTCTTAAACTCACAGCAACTTTCCTGCCTCAACCTCCCCAGCACTGGGAGTTAAAGGCATGGGCCACCACACCAATACAAAATATATTTTGTAGCACAACAATTTTGCAGTAATAGCAAAACCTCAAATCTCACTTACATTTTGGAGTTCTTTCAGGAATCTGAGTGTCACTGATTTTCTCTTCTTTGGCAGATTCCTTGTTTTCTGAAGACTTTGGCTTTTTTCTTTGGCGTAATTCTACAGTTGAGCCTTAAAATATTTAAGACATTATTGCAACAGTGTGTCAATAATCAGTATCCCAAGTTTATTAACTTTTATTATACTAAATCAGAAATCACACCGAGACAAATTCTTACCAAAGGAAACTTTTCTCATAATTGCATTAGCACCTTCTGCACATTATTTTGTTTTGTTTTTTCTTTGAAATTTTTATTAGTACATGCTTGCAGTACATGATGATTACATTAATTTGGGGGAGCTGATACATATATATAATATGCCCTAATTTTTTTTATATCCCCTTCCTCTTCTTTCCACTTCGGGTGACTTTTTCTTGCCTATTATTCTGTCTAGATCCTCAAATTTTGTGCTGAATGTAAGCTTTCAATCTCACTCAGGATTCTGCATATATGGTTTTATTATACTGAGGTGGTTTCCTTCTATTTTGTGTTATCATGTGCTGTGCATCATTACAAGTGTTTAATTTTGCTAAATTCTTTTTCTTGTACATTGTTTTTAGTACAAATAAGTTATAGGCTTTTTGAGAGTTTATCCACTGATAAACCAACAAACTTTTCTCCTGAGATGCTTTTTGCTTTGTTTTGTTTTTGAGAGAGAGTCTCCTTTTGTAGTTCAGACTTGCCTAGAACTCTCAGGAATTCTCCTGCCTCTGCCTCCCAAGTGCTAAGATTACAGATACAGGTTTATTCCAAGATAAGTAAGTGTATTCCAAAATGACTGGAGGACAAGATATTATTTAGTTCATTATCAAATGCATCATTCATATATTAATAATTTTTTAAAAATCAAAATATAATTGATCATTTGTATTGATTGTGCATTTTTCAAAAGTAATTCTGAAATAATTTCAGTACTCAGGAGGCTCAGGTAGGAAGATCACTTTGAGTTTGAGGCCAGCCTGCAGTATATAGTGAGATCCTGTCTCAAGACAAAACAAAATCCTGAAAGTTCTGTGGTTTCACATGCTGTAATATCATTAGCACTGCATAGCCTTATAGATGTTGATGTTAAAAAATAAGCTGAACTTATAAAGAGCCCCTAAAATGTATCAGAATTTCTCAGAAATTTTTCCTAATATTAAACTGTCTTCTTTGTCTATCTCCAATAAAAAAAAATACACTGCAGAAATTACTTCCAAAGTACTAACGTGAATTCCAAATTAACCAGGAATTTACTACAGATAATATAACAACTTCCCCCAACCAACTTCATTATCTTGTGTGCTAGGTGACTACAATTTAAGGTCAGAATGTCCCAGTCAAGCTTATAACAGGGTCCAAAAACTGATCTCCTGTAGGAGTAAAAGACAAGTTTTTCTAATTTCTTAATAATGACTCAGCAATAAAATGAGTAAATAATGAACAAAATAGGAGAAACGAATCAGCTACTGCTGATGTTGATCAGATGGATGGTTTTCCAGCTTTACTATAAAAAATGAACAAAATAAATGTATTTTAAAATTTGATGACAAATTTCATATGTTCACTAAAATACCTTTAAATACTATCATGGTAAAAATAAAACTGTACATTTAGCATATTATATCCACTTGTATACTACCCTTTATTTGTAGTCAGGATAAGTAGCAAAGTCAGTAAAATGACATTATTATTTGAAAAGCCATTCCTTGGATTTTTTTACATGCCAATCTGAGCAAATTAGTAGATAACACTATATTCCTTCCTTGATGCTCTTTTAACTTTCCCTTGCTGAGGTAAGCCAAAAGGCAGAAGCAGTCAACAAAAATGTTTATATAAAGTCAAAGAAAATCTTCAAAAGCAAATTATTATTTTAAAAGAATATATGGGAAAAAATATAACCACAAGTTTACTTAACAGGTACCCCTGCATGATTAAACACTAACTGCAATGGACTTAATCTAACTGGATTCTTTTTTTTTTTTTTGTTAAATCTTTTTATCGGTACCAGGGATCGAATTCACGACCACCTGCTTGCAAGGCAAGTGCTTATGCCTCCGAGCTAAATCTCCAGTCCCTAACTGGATACTTTCAAAAGTCAGCTTAATAAAGCTGACATAATTACTTAACCTATATACAGGGCTGATGGGCTAGCCAGCCAGCTAGGTCTTTTTCATTAAACAGAGTCTAAATATATACATTAAGACAAAGATAAACCGAGAAGGGGATATTCACATAATTGTGTTCTGTGGGCAGCTGGAGGGTAATCACTGGCAGAGTACACACCTAGCATGCATATAGCCCTGAGGAGTTCAATCCCTAGTACTCCCCCCAAAAGCATTCTTACAGAAACCTATCATTTTCCTTTTTTAAAATGTTCTTTATTGAATAAGGCAATTACAGGAACTTTAAAGTGTTCTCTTTGTGCTCATAAATGGATTTGATTTATAAAAGTACAATCTACACAAAAAATTGCACACATTCCTAAATAATTTATGAAGTATATGAATAATGTTATCTCTCAATATGTACTATTACTGATCAAAGATCATACAAATAAGCTGTAATAGATCTATAAGACATTTTCTTGATTCTAAAATGTTATACTATTTTTGTGTGTGTCTTTTTGAGACAGAATCTCCCTATGCAATTCAGGCTAGCATTAAGCTTACTTTGTAGTCCAAGCTAATCTTGAACTTGCAATGATTCTACTGACTCAGCCTCCCCAGTGCAGGGATTACAGGAGTGTACCACCATGCTTGGCCATGTCATACATCTTAAAGTACTATTTAGTAACAATTTTACAAGAGGAAAAAAAAAACAACAACTATTGCATGCTGGATGCCTGCACTGATTTTAATACGCCAATGTTAGTGGCATTAGATTGTGGAAGCAAAAAGTACATTCTGGGATAATATTTACTTTAGCCAAACTCCTCAAGTTGTCCCAAAACTAACTCTCTTCCTGTCACCAAGAAACAAAACTGAATGGATGCAAATTTCCACTCATTTCCATTTACTGCACTTCTAACTTCAAAATTGAAAAAGGAAGCCTCTAGTTGCTGATACAGCTCAGTGGTAGAGCACTTAGGCACTGGCTTTGATACCCCAGCACTGACAAGATAAATAAAATAAAATAAAATAACCACACATAGCTAGATGTGAAAAATAAGGCCAAAGCAATAGGCCAATTGATTAATTAACTCTGATGGTAAAGATCTAGAACGAAACTCAAATTTGCTTTTCATTAGCTTAGTTTGTAATACTATAAAAAAAAGTCAAACTAAATGAAGAGGATTGCATTGCCACAATGATGATTTGCCATTTCAGTCTCTAGTCCAGTGTTCTTCACTTGAAATTGAGCTACAAACAGGCTTGCAAATGTCCATCCAGACTATACTTACAATTTCCAAATGAAATGGTAACACTGTTTTACTCAAAGTTACCATTTTTTTCTTTGTTCTTACTTCTTTCAGGAAGTACACCTTATATACACTCTGATCTTCTATGTATCAAGTAAGAATTTTTTTGGAAGATTCCCAAAGCATATTCACTTAAGTTGACAAGGAAGAGGATCAATACAAATGAAAAACTAAAAGGGCTACAGATAACACTTGAATACAAGTAAAGTATATAGACCAGTTTAATTTTAACACAATGAATACAAGATAATGTGTTTTTTTAAAAAAAAGACTAGCCGGGTGTGGTGTCCACTCCTGTAACCCCAGCACTCAGGAGTCTGAGGCAAGTTCCAGACCAGCCTAGGCTACGAAGTGAGCATAAACTGCATAGGGAGACCCTGTCTCAAAAAAGACAAAGAAAAAAAAAAAAAAAAAAAAAAGACTTCCAAATACATGGAAAGTACTCAGAACAATGTCTGACACAGAGACACGTTTACTATAAATATTGACACGAGCATTATTATAATGAGATTCTAATTATTCATTCTTGACTATTATATTCTAGTGCCCAACAGCAGGGATCCAAATATTCATGGAGTTAAACATCTGATCAATGAAACTGCGTTTTAACAAAACTGCAACCTATTAATTTTTCTACATGTTATTTAACTTTTTGGATTACCTGTAATTCTATAACCAAAAGTAATTTATCATTTTATATCCGAGGAAATTTTACAAAATGATACAGTTCAGCCAGCTATGGTGGCAAATGCCTGTAACCCCAGCACTTGGGAGGCTGAAACAGGAAGATCTCTGCAAGTGTGAGGCCAACCTGGAGTACATAATTCAAAGTTGAAAGATAGTCTGAACTAACCCTGTCTAAAAAAAAAAATATATATATATATATATATATATACTCCACTGCTTACACACATCTATTTAATCAGACATAGCTGTAATTTAAGTGACTTCTCTGTGTGATGCACAATATTAGATACTTTTAGTATTGCACAAGTTTTATGTTTTAAATTAAGCATGAATGTACTCATGGAAACATACAAATTGGTTTGTCAACCTACTCCCATAGATTGTGTGTGTGTGTGTGTGTGTGTGTGTGTGTGTGTCTTTTTGAGACAGTCTTGATATGCAGTTCAGGCTGGCCTTGGGCTCACTTTGTAGCCTAGGCTGGTCTTGACCTACTCCCAGAGAGTTGCAATAGTTTGTTTTGTTTTGGTACCAGAAATCGGCACTGCGGCACCGAACTAAATCCCCGACCCCAGATTTGCAAACCGTATCTAGTTAACAAGCAAAATATATATTAAAAAAACTCCAATAACATACTGCAACTGCAGATAAAACCAAAGAAACAAACAGAATTACATTCTTCCTTGTCAACCATACATAACTGGTTTTGAAACTGTTTTTAGTAACATGTCTCAAAATTTTTACTACATTTAAAACTGAAAACTCGGGGCTGGGGATTTAGCTCAGCGGCATAAGCGCCTACCTTCAAAGCAGGCAGTCCTGAGTTCGATCCCTCGTACCGGTAAAAAGGAAAAAGACAAAAAAAAAAACTTTAAAACTGAAAACTCGAGGAAAAGGAGCTACGTACAACAGGTACAGGGAAGAAAGTCACAGAAGAGTAAAACTGTTTTCATCTTTTTTAAAAAAATCATTTTGAGGGGCTAGGGACTTAGCTCAGCGGCATAAGCACCTGCCTTGCAAGCAGGCAGTCATGAGTTCGATCCCTGGTACCCATAAAAATGAGAAAGACAAAAAAAAATCATTTTGCGTGGAACCCTTCCAACTCCCTTCTTGCACGTTTGGTTCAAAAAGACTTAAACCTGAATTAAGTCAATTCACCACCACATTCACAACTCTGCTCAAAGCACAAAGTCTTATTTTCCATCAGAATGCAAAATCTACCTGCTCAGTCAAGTGACACCTTATCTATCTGTTCCCGGAACTTGTAGAGGTACAGAACTGTATGATGAAGTTACTGGGCCACGAATATTTCCTCAGACTGCTGGCTGCCAAGTTTCTTCCAGCCGCCCATTCACCGCTCATACCCACACCTCCTGCGGTAAGTACTGCGGGAGGAACTCTGGGCTCCGGCCTTGAGGAAGCAGGGGAGGTGTGTTCGCTCCCCCCGTCCAAGCCCTCCGCCCTCCCCACGCCCCCAAACGCCTGCTGCGCTTCTGCCCTTGGCCCTCACGCCCACACCTCAAGCGAACTTGCCTTCCTCGCTTTCTGCGTTCCCCATTCCCCTCACCATGTTCACCCCAAATCCCAGCCTCAGTTTATCCGGATGGCTGCGATCCCGCTCACCCCGTGAGTGCCTCTGTCAGCACCCACAAACCTTTCAAGAACGCACTCAGAACGAAGAGGCGTTTGATGAAACGACTATCACGTTCCTTACGCACTCGGTACCCCAACATCCATCTCCACCCCTAACTGTGTCCCCTACTCCACGCTCCAACTGCGGGGAGCCCTCAGCCCGCCACTCCCCCCCGCCCCCGGGCATCTTTCTCCAGCGCTCCCAACTTCAAGCAGCAACTCGGCTTCTACTTCGGCAAACTTCGGGCCTGTTCCTCCGCGCGGCCCGAACCAGCCCCTACCCGGCCCGGGCCGGGCCCCGGCGCGCGTTTCTCCCCCAGCCCAGGCCGCCCGCCCTTCGCGTCCCGCCCCCTCCCCGCCAGGGCGGCGCGCCGAACCCAGACACCATCACCTTCTTCCTCCGCCATCGTCTCTGAGACGCCGGGGTCGGCCGCCGGCTCCCGCGGGGCCCGGAGTCTCCCTCCCTCCGCGTCGCCGAAGCCCTCGGCCGCCCCGGGCCCGCTCCCGCCGCCGCGCCCCCACTTCCTGACCCGCCCCCCTCTGGTGTTGCGGCCAACCACGTCCGCCAAGGCGGCCCGGGAACCATAGAGCCGGCCGCTGCGGGCTGCCGACCGGAGCGTTTCGCGGGAGCGCCCGGGCATACACCGGTGGGAAGGAGGCTTGACGCGCGGCCGCCGGTTCCTTCGGGGGAGCGCCCCCTGGCGGGGCCGCGTCCGCTTCTCTCACGCCCGACCCCTGCAAAACTGTGGAGGCTGGAGCGTGCTTACCGAGACTGCGCCTCGACTCATCAGCGACACCTCCCTGCTCCGGCCAGGCTCCCCGCTCCATTTCTCAAAGAGGAAACACCCAGCAAATCACTAAGCTATTCAGAGCTAGACCCAGAGCCCAGGGTTACGAACTTCTATCAGTGCCTGCGTGCACACAGCGACTTCGGAGCGCGGCTTAGTTGGGTTGGGGCTTCGGTTTAATGAACGCCTTGAGTGGGGCTGGGGATTTAGCTCAGCGGCATAAGTGCCTGTCTTGAAAGCCGGCAGTGGTGAGTTTGATCCCCGGTACCGATAAAAAGGAAAAAGACCAAAAATAAATAAATAAATAAACGCCTTGAGCATTGCATGAGACAAGTTTGTGCTAATCACCAAAACCGATATAAACCAAATATTTATTTGCACTTCACGATACTCAGGAAACAAAACAATGGTACTGTGGTCTGTGAGGGGTGTGTGCATTTAAATATTGCACAACAGTAGAACATTGTTTGGTTTTGTATGAAGATTAGCAATATTTTTTCATGTGAAGCAATTTTTAAAAAAAGTTAACAGCCTGCAGGATGGGAATGGTCCCGCAGTCAGCCTTCATCTGAGTCACAGAGACCCGTGTACCGGCACACACGGCATTGTAGTAAAACTCCACCAGGTGATTCTCTGTCCACGGTTGCACCAAAGCCTGGCTCCACACTCTGTCCCTGCCCCGCAGATGTCCACTCTCCCAGCCTGTGGCCACCGCACCACCGTCACCCAATCACCCTCGCCCTTGGGAACCAGGGTCTCCAGCATGTCTTCCCTCACACCTTCCAGGACTCAGTCTTCATCTGTCCTGCACGTACAGGTATCTGGACTCAGAACGTCTTCAATCGTCATCTTAGTGTTGTAATAGTGGCCGCACTTTTGCCACTTGTCCACGAAGTGCACGCGCAGGTCCCTGTGCAGCTACTGCTGACTCCTGCTGGCTGCTTTCTCTCTCTTGGCTGCAGGCCCATCCCGTAGGTCCGCGGGGTATTTCCACTTTCTGTCTAAGTCCTTCAAGGGTCATGCAGGTCTTTATTCTCGAGGGCCTTCTGTAACAGGCTATTCCATTGTGTTGTCCAAAGCATGTTCTGCTCAGCTGGACAGGATGCAAGAAATTCTTGTGAAATTCCTGCTGGGACACAGGTTGCAGGCAGTAGCTGCTAATAGTCATGATGTGACTGCCTACTGCTAGCTGAACCACGGCCCACACATTATCAGGATCAAGGCCTTCCACCTTTCCATAGAGGTGCTGATAAGGGTCAGAAAGGACCACCATAGTGCCTTCAACAGCCCTTGAGTTTGATTTTCCTTATCCTTCTCTTGCTCCCTGTCTGGCTTTGGTGGGTGGTAGAAACCACTGGAGGCCAAGGCCTGGGCCTTGTCAGGTTGGCACACAGCCTTAACCCCTTGGGCCTCAGTGACTTTACACAAGGCTTTAGCACTTGATTGAAAGTATGACAAATGCCTTCACCAGGTTGCCAGCCCATACCCTGAAGCATGGCTAGCCCAAAGGCCTCTATAGGGACTGCCTGGCACTGTCTCAGCTTAGAGTTCACTGTTTACCCTTTACTCACTAGGAATTCATCTTTTCTGGATCATGGGGATAAGTGAGCATGGGGTCAACACCCACACTGTCTCTCTCCTATAGAGACATCTTGGAGCTCCCTCATGGCTGGGGACAGCCAATACCTCTGTGAATGGCCTGGGGGTTTGGGCTAAGAGCTGCTGTGATAGGCATTCTGGATCAGTGGGATGACCAGTTTGTTGGGGACTTCTGGGGACTTCACACTCTGCGGCTCCCTTCCTTCCACGGTTATCAGGAAATCCTTTTCCTTTGGGGCCAACCGAGCACCATCTCCCTGATCTGCCAGCTGCCTCTGCACAAAGGAATGTATGAAATGAAATGACAGTGGAGCAGCAGAAGGAACAGCCAGCTCCAAAATATAGTCATCAGCATCCACCATTTTGCCTGTAACCAAATAATGCCTGCAGTATCAGTTAGTATTTTACTAGAACCACAGATATAACACAAGACATAAATGTGTAAGAGCTAATAAGACTGACTTACAGTGTCACACACAGAGTTGGATGAGGAAGTGTGCAGAGGGTGTCTGCACCCTGGGGACTGACCGAAGAAGAATCTAGTCCAAAGTCTGGAGTGCCCTGCAGTGTCCCATGGGAGTCCGTTTCAGGAGGCTGAAGGATCTATGCCAGAAGGCAGAGGATCTGTGCCAGAAACCAGGTGAAGGAATGATGAAGACTGGGCTTCTCCGAAAGCAGATCTGTCCTTCCTCAGTTCCTCTTTATATCACCCAAGCCACAAACCGCCCAAGGGTGGGAAACTGCTAAGTCATTTAAACTTCTCATAACTAAATTTCTCAACCTGATAGTCTACCATCACAGCTGCCCAGAGTCAGATTTGGAAGAGTGCAAAAAGGCTGCCTGGAGGTATAAAGGATCCAGGGGAAGGCCTGGAACTCCTGTAGGGTCCTGACTGAGTTCCTATCAGGAGGCCAAAGGGTCCACAGTGGAAGACTGGAGTGTTTGTTCTAGAAACCAGGGGACCATATCTAAGGTGAAAGTGAGTCTGGAGCTTCTCTGAAGAAACAGAAGCCAGCCTTCCTCCTTCACTTCCCTTTTATTCCATTCAGGAGGCAAGCCTAAGGGTTGGTGTCACACCCAGGGTGGTTCTTCTGTTTTAAATAAATCTCTTCAGTTGCTCCAATTGGTTGGGCGTGTCTTACTCAAATTGACACAGTCTGTTGGCTATCGAAGCATGCCATGCTCATTGGTCAAAACATTCGGCTGTTGTTTTAGTTATTTTTCCCCCTTGCTAAAGCAAAATACTTGGCATGAGAAGATAAAAGAGAAAAAGTTTCTTTTGTGCACAGTTTGAAGAGGTTTTAGTACAAGACGCCCGACTGAAGACAGGGTGCCACGGCAGAGGAACGTCGAGCAGGAGAAACAGTTCCTGGCAGGCAAAGGCAGCAAGCAGCACCTGACAAGTGACCCAACGCCGTCTTTCTGTCCCTTATTGTTGGGTGCAGGTGCTCAACATACCATACCCCAGCCGAGACTAAGGACCACGCCAGCTTCCGCAGTGCGCTATGTCCCTCTTTAAATTAGCCAACCCGTGCGCACTTCGTGCTCACTCCGTACTCTGTGGCAACTCCTGATTGGCCACAGCTGGATATAGCAGCCAGAGCCTACATCCCATTCCCGCCCTGCTTCCTTGTGGCAGCCTGTGATTGGTCACGGCCAAATATATAAACAGAACCCACGTGAATAAAGCAGCAGTTAACTGTCGTCCACAAGAGCATCTCCTGTTTCATTGGGGCTGCGCCAGTCACCTTATATTTTAGGGCAGATAGTATTCATACCCTGGGTAGAGTATCCTTAATCCTAGCATCACACAGGAGGTCCAGCCACCTCTGAAAAAGCTCCACCTATGATCATAGGAGGCTTTGGGGGCATATCTAGATAACAAGCCATAACAGCTATGATGTCAATTTTTCCTAAACTGATTTCAATAAACAACACAATTCATAGGAAAATACTTGGAAGTTTTTTTTAAATGACAAATGGATTTTGAAAACTCCACTTGGAAATACAAAGAACAAAACTATTTTGATTTTTTTTTTTTTTTGTCTTTTTCATTTTTATCGGTACCGGGGATCAAACTCACGATGGCCTGCTTGCAAGGCAGGTGCTTATGCCGCTGAGCTAAATCCCCAGCCCCTTATTTTGAAAAACATGAGGGGGCTGGGGATTTAGCTCAGCGGCATAAGCACCTGCCTTGCAAGCAGGCCGTCATGAGTTCGATCCCCGGTACTGACAAAACAAAAAAAGAAAGAAAGAAAGAAAGAAAAACATGAGGTTTTAGCTGAGTGTGGTGGCACAAGTCTGTAACCCCAGCACTCCGAAGGCAGAGGCAAGAGAAGCTCCACGAGTGCTAGGTCAGCCTGGGCTACAAAGTGAGTTTGAGGCCAACCTGAATTACAGCAAAAGGAAACCCTGTCTCAAAAGAGAGAGAGAGAGAGATGGATT